GAAGCAGCTGCTGACTGACAATAATAATATTGCAAGTTGACGTCTTTGTTTGTGTCTTCTAAGCACGTGGCTCCTTTTTTCATCCTGAGATATTATGTATTCTCCCAGTTTTGCGTCTGTTGAGCTACCTGTGAATTTTCTAAGTGTTTTCTCACAGGGACTCACTTTGACATAGTCTGTATGTCGTGTGTGCGCTCTGTATTTGGGAAACAGCAATTTCAAGGGAACGGTCTTAATCAGTGCATGCAAAGATTACAGGCCGTTTCTCAGTTGAGGTGGTTCAGTGGTCGCATGACCTGAATATGGAATTGTCTATGAGATATTATAAAAGGTGGTTAAATATAAAGTTATATTCTCATATTTATATTTAGTCAGACATACAGGATTCTCCTCTGGCCAGCTTTTCTATTAATTCCACTTTGGCTTGTAAAGTAGCATTCAGCCCACTTGTAGGTAACATTAATAGGTTCTTAAACAAAGTGGAGTCCTTGAACGTCTCTTTGAGATTTCAGGTGAGCTTGAAAATCTAAAGAGCCTGAGGAGGGGGCGGTCTTTACTCTTAAATCCACTTCATCTATAACCACCGGGGGGATTCTCCATCATTTTCCTCTTACTCAAAATCGACTGATTCATTCATCTCAAGAGTAAATTCTACGTCCAACAAATGGAAGACCACAATATCCTGACATCATCCGACCACAGGATCGAAAAACAACTCAATATTTGAATGTAATTTAAAAGCCAAATATCACATTGACGAAATAGAATTAATAAGTAACAGTCACATGCTGGTGAGAGTGAATGACTTGCAGGCTAACATGTCAAGGGGCAGTTGTGTATTGTGTCCCTTCAGCCTGACACCAGCAGCCTGTTAGCGCTGATAAGAGGACGTGCTACATCACTACCTGCCCTCCCTCTCCTCATCACTCCGGTCTCACCGATCAATGTCATGCAGCTTCGCCAATTCTTAGAAACCTCTGCGGACACGTTAACCATATTATGTAATTTCCTTTTATTACTCGCGCACACAATGAAAAGCAACAACGCAATAAAGATGGAAATTGAAAAGTGTATGTGTCGGTGCCCTGGAGTTATAGTAGTTGCACTTCCTTCCTTCTGTGATTGTATTTCTCTCTCTCTCTCTCTCTCTGTCTGTCTTTCACTAGATGCATCACTTCATTGCCTTTTCTTTTTTTTTGTGAGAAAACCCCACTCATCCATACAGGAATTTACCCAACGTTTGAACGCACACAACTCTTACCACCTAGTCTCTGCCGCGGCTGAAAAGATAAGGAGAAATAAATAAATAAAAGGAGTGTGAAGAGGAGTGTGAAGAGGAGAGTCAGAGGCCGGCAGTGGAACATCCTGGAAGTCACAAGTCACTGCTGTGTATCAGTTCATGATTTTCGTCAGTTTGGTAACAGCACAAGGGAGAAAAAGCTTAAATAAGAGATGATATAAAATATTAACATATTACGGCTCCACTTTACGCACTAAACACTACGTCCACTTTCTAAATCACATGACTTACGTATCATTAAACAGGTGGATGAAATACAAACCAAACAATCACACGAACACAGAAAGAATATTAAAGGTCAAAAAGTCGGCTATATAAGATCGATTTCACACCTGAAAATCTGAAACAAGCTTCATATCTTTGTTACATTGTTTACAATTGATCCGGTTTGTTATGGTTCAACATTGCAATTTAAGAAAGAAGACTTTTGTATTTCCCACATACAGTACGTCCTGCAGTCATCACCTATGTAGGCTGGGTCGACCTTTACTTGGCATTGATTGGTTTGTAAACAGGCCAGCTCTGATATCGGCGTGTTGTTAATCCACTGAGTAGCAGTGTTTACATTTGAACCAGGTCATTTAGGTGATTTTGTCAATGCAATATAATTAGGTTATTACTACCAGATGTTAAAGACTTCAAAATGAATGCTGGTGAAAATAAGTTTGTTGCAAGAACAACTTGATGCTTGTTTAAACAAGTACAGTGTGCATTGTAAACCTGCCTGTTTGGACTGGGCTGTTTGTTTGGTCTGTGGTGATTTTCTTTCTAAAACTGTAAAAGTGGCCTGCAGCTTTCAGTCCAGAGCCCTTTAGCTGCACCTCCACCGCTGCACAAATAATCAGTTGATGCCACTGTCGTTATCGACACTGCGCTTCCTTGGGATCCTTAACAATACAGAGTGTGAAGGTGATTAGATAAGTGGTTCTTGAGATATTTGAGTCACAGATGAACAGAGATAGATGTTGGTGTGTTTTCAGTTAATTCTGCTCCTCACAAGTGGCCAGAACATCAGGACATTTTATAACCTGACTGGGTGTTGGATGTCAATGAAAAAGCTATGGCCAGTGGATTTCCTTTTTTTTTTCAATCTAAATCAGTACAATTACTGCTTTTATGAATTTCTATGCCTCATCAGTGTCTAAAGCATGATGATGGCCTGAATGCTGTAATCAGTAGTTTCAGTGGAACTACTGATATATAGGGCTACATTCAGAGAAAGGCTGTGGCTGCACAGTGTCCTGCAAGGCACAAAACCAGTCACCTGCAGAGCTGCAGTGTGGTTGCTGAAGTTGAGTTTAAAATCCCACCTGAGCATCCAAAAAAAGGCCACACAGCTCAAGTTTTAGGTGTGACTGTAGCCGGTGGGAGAATCTCCATGCACAGTGCAGAGCCTGACATGACAGATGAACGGACGAGGATGCAGCAGGAAAAGAGCATCTACCCACTTGAGACTTGGCTCAAATATAAACAATGTCAAAGTCGATAAAATGCATTTGCATCATTAAATTAAAACTGATGTGGGCCCCAAACACCGGGCGAATTTCCCAGGTTAATGAAGGCTGAGCCACTGGCCAATATTTATTTGTGTCTGGCAGGCCTGTATGTATCCAACAAGGCTTTAATGTGACATTTTCAAAAATCAATAACTTGTTGGGTCAGATTTTCTCTCAGCTGCTGGAGCGCGGCGGCTGAGTCAGGATTGTCGACAGCTGCTCGTGTATCTCACACGATTTGAAAATCCTCATATCGGGATGAGGAGAATGAACACACACACACACACATAAACACACACTACAACACAAACTACACAAACACATATAATGCTGTACACACACTGACACTATTAACTATACAAAAAGCCACACTTTGTTCACTTCTATGAATAACAGGGTTGATCCAGGGGTGCACTGGTCCCTGCTGAAATCTGATTGGCCCGTGAAGTGCCCCGTCCTGTCAGTAGTCTTTAAAAACAAACAAACAAACAATACTCACATTTGTTTGTTTGTTAAAGTTTATGTACAGTAGATTTTCTAAGGTTTTTGAAGCACTCAATGTGCTTTCAAAGTATATTCAAGATGTGTGGATGACATTTGAATCAAAGCTATAGCGCTAACAGTAAAGAAGGAATGATTTCAGATATGGTGCATGGATCATGGATCATGGATATATAATTGTCCCCTTTATGGCCCCTGATTTACAAAGATCCTAGATTCGCCACTGGTTAGCAATAATGAGGACATCCTGCGTCTCCCGTTCGCTGCACGTCTTTTCTTTTCTCTCTTCTCTGTGACTCATCCAGCTGAAGCACAAGCCGTGCTGCTGCAACCGCTTTCACATTTTACAATATTTCTGCCGACTGGACGACTTGTTTCATATCAGGGACAAAGGAAAACACCTGTGTTCTATGTGACAGGCGGGTTTAAACAAAGCCATCATGGCCTGGCAGGTTAGCCCTGGACCGATTGTGTCCCACCACCGTCCTCCAGGCTCACTGTGAAAGCCCAATCCAGACTGACAGCCAAGCAAATGAACAAATAAATAAGTAAACACCATTAAAAATGTATCGCACATACACATGCATAAATAAGTTAAAGCATAGTTCGGCCGAACACAGGCAGAATTATTTCTTATAAAAGAAATATAAAACCGTGCTTTAATAATTCATGTGGAGGCCCCCCCACACCTTGCTACACATTAGAATAAACACAAGGTGCCTTTATTTTCCTCCACCGCTGTCACTCTCTCTGGGAGCGCCGCTGCCTCATTGGTCAGTCTAATAGGAAACTGGACACAGCCCCCATCATCGCTCATGCAGCTGGCAACAATAGGCCTGATGTCCAATTATTAGAGCGCTTCACCATGCACTGCAATCAATGTATTTGAGAAGAGCCTGCTCTGGCAACAATAGAACCAGAGCTTGAATCATTGCAACTGAAGAAGACAATTCTCTGCTTTATTTAGATAAAGTGGATCGGTGAGAATTTTGCATTCCTTGCACAGCTCTCACAGGCCGAAAAACTCAATCTTATTCTTCTTTCTTTAACTCTGCTTGTTAATGTGCCAAATGTACTAAAAGTAAAGTTCCAGGAAATATTAAGAAATCATTAGCACATGTAAATTCAATTAATGTCGACAAACACCGCTTTTGGCCCCTACACTGGTTTTTATATTTTGTGGCAGCAAGTTGGACATGAACAGATATTTTCTGAACTGCCTTTCTTCATCAGCTTCAACAAACAAGACAAACCTGAATAGACTGAAGAACCTTGTCTGAAACAAGGATTAATGTGATTGGTGGCACATGGACCAAGCTGAAAAGTCAAAGATGGTTTCTATCCTATCATCGGAACCTCAATACCACGATTACATCCCCCATTGCTACTGCACAGACTCTGACTCCAAATGCACAACATGGCAGTTTTTGTATAAGACATATTTTGGACTTATTTCTTGATAGTTGGAGGAAGTTGAGACAATCGTCCATCTTTATATACAATCAAATAATTCCTTCATATAAAACAGAAAAGTAGAAGTCACAATTCATCAAAAAGTAAATGATAACACTCCCCATAATGCTGTTCTTTTAAGTGCTTTGGTTTGTGACCATATGAGACTGATGAAGTTGTGGAACACACAATGGTGGCTTAGGTATTAGAACTAATTCACAATGAGGAACAAAGAGAAAGACGGCACTCACCTCTATGAGTTTGCGTTCATAGCTGGCAGCCAGCTCCTCGATGTCACCCATTGACTTATTCTGCGGCACAGGGGTCTGCTCCTCACTTGACGGCAACATGGACAGGGCTGAACCAGAAGGAGAGAGAGAGAGCACACAGGTACATTTAGACACACAGTGTAACAGTTACCTCTTTTCAACATTGTTACAGTGATTTAACCTTATAGTGATTTTCACCCATTTAACTTTTCACCTCATCTCTAAGAAAAACGCAGGAAAGAGAAATCATGGCAGCTCAGTGGTAAAGATAATGTTACGCTAAACGATCAAATTATGGCTGACATGATTTTTACGGTTGTGGTAAACATTTCCATGGTAACTGTGTAGTCTCCCAATCAGAGAAGTCACTATTACACCTAATAGACATCGCAAATATAAGTTTTTTCAAAAAACTTGCAGCTTCTATAGGAGCACCTGACACTGTTTCACAATTTCGTAGATTGTTGTAAGTCTACCTCAGATGATTATGAAAAAAATCTCTATTCAGAAAATACTATAACAGGTCACAAACACACAGACAATTATAAATGTGAAAGTGGGTTTCTGTAAGTTATGCATTATTTCCTCTGGTGTGTTGTGTTGTGACACCTGCAGCTGTTTGATGCTTTTGTTTTCGCAGCGAGAGAAAAATACACAGGGAGCAGCAGATCTATAATAGTAATATACACATTACCAGCCAGGAAGGAGCCATAAATCCCCATTTTATTAAATCAATGTCAACACACTGAAGTGGACACGAGTCTTGCACGTCATAAAAAAACATATAGCCAAGAAGGGAACGCGCTCATAACCGCTGAAATACACACATTAGCACACAAATCCTCCAGGATGCACACTTCCTCCTAACGTACAATATAAAATGCTGTAGCAGTCACATTTTTCTTTCTGAGGAAACTTCTTTCCGTTCTGTCAAGATGATAAACTCTTTCCTCACCATCGCCTCTTCTACTCTGACTTTGTGTTGAGACAAAGTTTATTGTTTCTTTGCAGCACTGTAACTCACTAATCAGCTAAAGTCATCATGACGCAGCCTAAAGCGTCGCTTCTGAGTCCAGGAACATCAACTAATCTGGTTCCAACTTAAACATACTGCAAAACTTGGAAGTGGAAGCTTGTAACTTTTCACAGAGGGGTGAGTGGAGGATGGATTGTTTTTTTCATCTCAGGTAAATCAAACTAATGCCGTTCTTCTGCTGCCATCACACACAGCTAACACCTAGACAAACACACCGAGCAAAGGAGGAGGCAGAGAGACGAGACAAGAGAAATTCAGGATGTCCATCTGCAGGGCAGAGCTCAAACAAACTTGTGGTGACGGCTCATTGAGCAGAAGTTAAAGACAGCATAGTGCTGGGCTGAGAGGAGATAAAAGGCGAAGCCTGAGCAAGTGTCTGTATGTCTAGACAGAGTGGGGCCAGGCTCACTGTACTTCCACATATACTGCATCGTAGGAGGAAGAGCTACTGTGAATCACAGGCAGGTACAGGTACACAAAGAAGAGACGGAGCAGCTTGGTACCCAGCTGGTTTGATGCTGAGGCAACACTTGATGAGAGGATGGACGAAATCAGAGAAGCTAATAATAATAATAATGCACATTTGCAACACATTTTCAATTAGCTCAGTGGAAATCATCGCGTTTGAGGGTGAGAATTATTTAGAGGAGAAATCATACAGTGAGAGGGAAAGGAGGACTAAAAGGAGCTGTTCACACCAACCAGGAGGTGAATTTTTCACACCATGAGATTTCATACAAAGTCAATACAAAGACGAAAACAGGCTTGAATTTCCATGTTCATACAAACGCAGCAAGCAAACATAAATAATCCTCAGGCCAAACTTGAGTGGGAGTTGGTGTCAACATGTGGATATGAGCTTTTAAAGACCCTACATTTTTATGAAAACATATTTCTAAAGCTGTCTTCAGACTTTGCCTTTCTCATATGAAGAATGCAGCAGGATATTGTCTGAGTCATATGCGTTCACAGCAACAAGAAAACCACTGGAAGATTCACGTGAGGGTTTGTGCCTGGGTAGAGCCTGCAGCAGGCAGGACGAGTAAATGCAGCTGCTGAAATCAGGTGTTTGTGTTTGTACAGCACATTGACGCCGGCGTCTGCTCTTATCATCCAGAGCTCTCATATTTAGTTGTATTTCCAAGTTGACATCTTTCTACGTCTTCAACATGTATGGCTCCTCTTCTTCTTCCTGAAATATTTGGAATTATCAAAAATCCAACAACCACACACACACACACACACACACACCCACACACACACACGTCTCCATGACCTCAGTGGTCATTACACAGCTAACCCTACCCCCTTACATTGATTTCCTGGGTACTTACTCCAACCTTAACCAAATCTATTACTTGCTTACCTCTAACCTTAGATTAACCTTTACCTTAACCTGATCTTAAATAAAATGTCTTAAAATTCAAAGATTCATGTACTGAGGACTTCCTTTTTATCCCTACAAGGAGGGTAAACCCCATAATGTCACTAATAAACATAGTTAGGTCCCCACAACATGAGTAATACCTGAAGCACACATAAAAAAACCAGACCGTGCACACGTATATAAAACTGTATGTACGCATGCATTCACTCTAACGCACATACGCAGCTGCTGGGGAGTGATGCTCACTTAGTTTTGTTATTACAGACCAGCTGTTTGTACAATTTCCTAGAGCCAGGAACATCTGTGTCTCCCCGCCAAACCCATCCCCCACCGTCGCCCTGTTCGCCCACACACCCTCTGCACGCTGCATTATTAAGAGCCGATCAATGTGACAGCTAACACAAATCCAACTTCAGGGGAGGAAAAACTCAGAGGTGAGGTAAATTGGTATCGGAATCATCCTCCGTGTTTGTGTACCGTCTTTATTGCTCATTTTTGTGTGTACGTCTCTCACTTTCATATATAGTTGCATTGTTATTGTGTGTGTGTTTGTGTGTTGCTGATGGAAGTGTAAAGTATAGTACAGTGCTACTGATGGGCCAAAGATAAGCTTAGGGATTGTTGTGACAGGATCGTGTGTTTTCTCTGTATATAGTGTGTATATAATGTGTGTGTATATACATATATATATATATATGTCCCAGGTTATGTACGACACATCCAACAGCTGCAGAAAGTTGCAGGTCATTTCATAAAAGTGTTTATCGGAGTGTGCTAATTTGTGTTTGTGTATGTGTGTGTATGTCCCATTCCCAGAAGTGAGCTCCCACGTGGTTTTTACCAGAGTGTGTGTGCACCTCTAGAGACGTTTCTCTTATGATCACAGTGTGTGATATAATGAGTCAGGTTAGCGAGGTAGTCCACCGAGAGATCACACACACACGCACACACACACACACACACACACACACACACACACACACACACACACAAACCCAGCCGAGCATCGTTCAGGACAACAGTGCAATGAAGTTTCACTTTTGCTTGAGTTGCAGTGTTTGGAGGTGAGGGGGCTGGGAGAGCACCTTCGCCTGCACCACAGAGGATCAATCAGTGCAGGCGAGAACTGTGAGCTGATTGATCCTCAGGTTTACAAGGCAGCGGTGGAGCTGCCTCAAAAAGACACTCAGGACAGTGACGGACAGAGACTGAGCTGCGAAGCTAGATGTCCAGCAGAAACAGCTAGACCTGAATGGTTCGTCTCTGGCTGCTGTGGTGAGAGCCCCGTGGCATGGTCTACTGTGTGTTTCATGACTTCACCTGGTGAAGTTGTGAAACAGTTTTTGGACACAAAGCCAGTCCATGTTTTACTGGGAACACTAAGCCATGATCACTGGGGACTGACGTCACAGTTTGTTAAACAATTGAGACAAATAGTCTGTAATTCATGTCTGTTTTTATTATTTTTCTCTGATTTCTTGTTCTTTGTGATGTTTGTGTCATGCAAACTTGTTTCTGTTGGTATTATCGATTATTCTTCAGTTTCAAGTAAAACCACAATCATTTTGAACATACATAATTATCATATTTCCTTCAGATAATTGTTTTTTTGTTGTTGCAGCGTGTAACTGTGACATCAGAATGACTCACCATTTGTGAGATAGGTCAGAGAAGATGTTTTCAGACAAGCACTGAAGTCCAGACACATTTCCTTGAGGGGCTGTGAAAACGCAAATGTCCGTTGCTCTGGATATTTGAGTTCATGACTGAAAGCTTAATAAGATAGATCTTCAGCCGTTCTTTCAATTTTCAGTGATTTTTCCATGTTGTTGTTTTTCCTCACAATGAAAATCTGCTAATTCTGATGGACATCACTGCACGCTACAGAACAAACTGCTGTCTGAAGAGTCTCCGCCATTTTTTTCTGGCCTCGGGGTGTCGAGGGCAAGCTGCTGAAAACCGCCCACAATCTGCAGGTCGGGAGTTCAAGAGAAAAATTCACACCAGGACCAGAACGGCGCAGGGTGAAAAATGAACAAGCTGACACATTTCCTCGCTCTGGTGGCCGGCTGTTGCTACCAGCTGGAATGTCGGGTTTAGAAACGAGAGGTGACAGCTTAATTGAGTTTGACCTTATTAAGAGCGTTAACAATAGCAGCCTGTTCACATTCAACCATTTCTGTATCAGGCTCAAGAAAAGCAGATGGGAAGACTTCTATTAAAGTACCACCACGAAATTTATACCCTTGAAATAACTGCTTCAAAATAATTTTGATGGTACACAAACTTATAACAGAGAGAATGGCATGTCTATCATTGCTACAGCGCCCCCTGGAAGCCTGGAAGAGAACCATGTAACGCTCCTGTACCATGCTGGAACATTATGACCTGCTTTATGACATACGTCACACATCAACAACCAGAGCTGGTGCTCGCAGCTCGCTATAAGAGACAACTAGCTTGCTGTTGTCAGTGTGGACATCGTGGCAGGGCCATCAAAGCAGACATTGTCAGAGGAAAAGACGAAGAGGAAAAGAGAAAGTGACCGAGCGAGAAACCGAACACAAGGGAATATCGGAGTATATTTCACTTGAAGAGGCCAAAGGCTACAGGACAGATGCTGAACTGGTGTTGTTGTAATTGAATTGAATTCAACAAGTCATTAA